AACTTTAATACATTTTATATATATATATACACACACACGCACACACACACACACAAGCACAGTGGTGTGAAGACAAGCACAGTCTCCAGACCTGCACCCCATGGAGCTGGTCTGGGATGAACTGGACTGAAGCTGACAGTGACACACATTAATGGGAACTACGGCAGCAGAGTTGGACCAACTTTCTGATCTTCAGTTCAGCCGCTGGAAGAGTCTGACATTTAGATTCAGTTTAGTTCAACAACAAGATTGAATGGTTCATTTAAAAAAATTTAAGAAAGTATTATGTATTATTATAATAAATAAATAATATGTAAAAAATATAATATGAATAATAAATACTAAGTATATAATATATAATATAAATAGCAGTATGAGTACTTTTTTCATACTTGCATACATGCATTTTGCTGAAAACAATTTCTACAACTTGTAAAACTTTTACAATTTCTAAAACTTCTTTCACATATTTTATATCATTTGCAACTTTTGAATTTTTACAATTTTTACAACTTTTAAAACTTTTACTTTTACAATTTTTACAAATACTGAACTTTATGCTTCTTTGAAGTAAATGATCTCAGTGCCTCCTCATTCTGTGAAATTCCTGTTAGTTGAATGTTTTAGATTCATTCTTTTCAGTGTATTTGTATAGAATATATGAACTCCAACAATTAACTGCATTATTATCATCAAATGTGTACAGCTGAAGCACCTTTCATTGAATAATATGATTTCAACAAAGTCTTTTTTACACCTCTGAAGATCAGATATTTCACTGTGACTGGATTCATTAAAAAGTCATTATGCTTTTTTCTCACTACATGACACGTCTGCTTCATAGAGTATTTAATACTATGTATGTTCTAACTTCTCACAGTTATTTTATTTATTTAAAAAAGAAACTGCAGGAGCACATTCAGTTGTGAAGTCAGCGTGCTCGTGAGTCATGAAATTCATGTGCTGAAACAAAGCACAGTCTCAAATGCTGCTGACAGCTTCATGTCTTCATCCTCTCCCTCCTGAATGACAGACAGGCCGTGGACTGAATGATGAACTGGTTTGGAGTAAATATAGTTTATAATAATATCTGTTTAATGGTCCCGGAACAGAAGAACTGAAGAAGTTCTCTAAAAAACAACCCTTCAGTGGTTTCTCAAACGTTTCAAACTGAAATTCAAAAGCAGCACATATTCACATTCAGCCGTGGTGGCATGTCGCCCTGCACAGAGTTTCACTTCTGACTGCAGAGCCTTTGAAATCCACGCCGCTGAAACTTGTCCCGCCACCAACACAGCGGCACTGAATAGAGACATGACATTTGAAACACTGTTTTTACTGAGACATGCTTTAGGTAATAAATCCTTTTTTTAAAAAATATGTTCTGATTCTTTAATTAGAAATGTGAAAGATAATCATTAATTAAATAAAACACATTTACAGTGCAGCCAAATAAAAATGGCACCTGTAACACAGATTATATAAACTGAGTCACACATGCATGTTTAAAACAGATTCATATTGTTGTCTAACCTGAAGAACATGTCACACTTATCGAGGCAGGATGAACAGATCTGTAGTATCCAATAAAAATTCCTCCAACAGTTTATTTGTAACATTACAAATTTGTAACATAACAAATAAATTGCTCATTGCAAGTTTTTTTATGATGTTTATGTCAGAGTCAGTCATTGAGATTAAAATCTCTTTTCCAAGAGAGAGCTGAGAACAAGAATCAGACACAAGAGAAAGTCAACAACAAATACGACAGAACTACACAACACAATAAACTAAGAAACTAATAATTAACAAAAACATTTACAACAAATAATAGAGATTTAAAATATAAGAGTCTAGTATGAGGGAATGCAGTTCATTCCATTTAAATGGTGATAGAACCTGAAACCAGTTCAGCCAGTATGAGTGTGAACCTGACGGATGTGGAGGGTTAGTTAGTTAGCTAGCTAGTTAGTTAGTAGATCGTGTTCTGTGGACACTGGATTGAAACAAGAGAAGAGATGTGAGATGGTTTGAAGCTTTAACAGTCGAGCTTGATAAATGAATAACATGAGATGTCTGTTTCGTCCTGACTGTAGTGAGGTCCAGCCTACGGAGAGAACAGTGATGAGTAGGGTATCTGTCATTGTCACAGAGTGTAGAGCTCCATGGTACACAGGGTTTAACTGCAGTGTTGATGGAGCAGCATGACAACAGAGTGTCTCCACAGTCACAAGACAAGAAGGTCGACTCAATCGAGCCCAATTTGATTTTTGATTTTTGAGTCACGTGTTGAATATGAACCTTGAGCCAGATTCTGCAGTATTTTTATGAATCAGTGAGGTCTTACAGTTAAAGATTAATGTTAAGCTGCTGTAATGATCTTTTAATTAATATTTAAGACTATAATTTGATGATGATGTGTTTTTCGTCTTTTGTTTTTTTGTTATCCTAATTATTATTCAGCAACAAAGTAAGTGTTGATATGTCTTAATGTACTGTATTTACAGCACAGTACACTGCTGTGAATCTCACTCACTGATGAGTTCATTCTTGCTGCAGTTTACAGGCTGGTTAAAGTCTTTTAGTCTTTAAGTACAGGTTCTAAATACTGTAGTGGAGCTGTTCACAACACACACACACACACACACACACATACACACACACACACACACACACACAGCTGTAGCTTAAGCTTAATCTTAAGAAATGAGCGTCTCTCTGTGGTTGTGCAGTGTCTTGTGCCAGATAGATAGATAGATAGATAAATAGATAGATACTTTATTTATCCCCTAGGGGAAATTCATGTGTCCATTAGCTCATTGTTGATACAAATAATGATTAATAAAAACTGTTAATAATAAATAAATAATAATAATTAGATTAGTCCCCTTCTTTTAGCTGAGGTGTTTTATAGCCTGATGGCAGTGGGAACAAAGGATCTCCTGAACTTCTCTGCTCTGCAGCGCAGTGAGATGAGACGTTTGCTGCACCTATAGCTTCTTCTCTGTCCTGCCAGAAAGTTGTGGAGAGGATGGTTGGTATTGTCTAAGATGTCCTCCATCTTTGCACATTGCACATCCTCCATCTTTGCACATTGCATGTGTCTCTCCACAACAGTCCTGAGTGAGTCCAGACTCCTGCCAAGTACATACCCAGCCTTTTTGAACAGCTTGTCCAGTCTCATTGTGATGTCCGACATGCTGTCGCCCCAGCAGACTGCAGCATGAAAGAGTACACTGGCCACCACTGACTGATAAAACATGTCCAGCATTTCACTGCAGATGTCAAAGGACCTGAGCTTCCTGAGAAAAAAGAGCCAGCTTTGCCCCTTCAGGTAGATGGCATCTGTGTTCAGGGACCAGTCCAGTTTACTCTCCAGGTGCACACCTAGATATTTATAAGTGTGTACCACCTCAATGTCCTTCCCTCGAATGTTGACTGGCTGAAGGGTGGGCCTAGACGTCCGAAAGTTGATGACCATCTCCTTGGTCTTGGAGGTATTCAGAAGGAGGCAGTTCTTGTCGCTCCATTCACTGAAGGCCATCGTCAGATGTACTCCTGTTCCTCCTGCTGCTCTGGTGTCTCTGTCCACTCATACTGCAGTGAATGGTTAAATCCACACAATGATCGGGAGTGTTGTTGTTTAACCAGGTCTCACAGGAAACACAGGAGACTACACTCACGATATGCTCGCGGGTTCTTCACAACTCCTTGGCTAACAAGTTCATCATACTTGTCCCCAGGTGTGAACAGTGAAAAACTGTGCCTTTGTCCGTGGTACAAAGAAACCTGGTTTTCAGAAACTTGAATGTACTGGAGTCCCAATAGTGATATTCTTATTCTCTCAATGTTTTGGATGTAGTGCTTGCTTTTGCAAGAGATGTAAGATGTTTTGTATGTTGTGTATATGGTTTTGGTTTATGTGTGTGGAGCTTTGACAAACAGGGCCCTAGTTTCAGGAACTGTGTTTTTGAAATAGTGAAAAACTGTAATTGATGTGATGCTCCTGTGTTCTTCAGTCAGTGTGTTGTGAGTGACAGTGGAGGCTTTCTGAGTGAGAAGTGTTGTCAGTGATGTGGTTAAATGAGCTCATACTGAGACATGTATGAAGAGTTTTGGTGGTTTGAGTTTTGGAAAGATTCACTGTTTGGCCGAGATGCATGTATGAAGAGGGTTGACCGATGCTTGTTAGCAACTGAAAAAAACTGTAACGCACATGTGGCGCTGTAGTGAGTGTGTGGGGCAGCAGAAAGGTGTGTGTCTGTGTTATCTTATACACACAGGTGTGTTTGTGAAGATAGTCAGTAACCAAATTAAGTTACTTTCTCAACCTGGTAACACAAGCTTTTTGGAGGCTCTATGGTAGAAAGCTTTAGTGCCACACACAACAATACACACACGCACATTGACAGACACACACAAGTGCACAAATGCAGTTGCTGATCTAACTTTCACTCAACTGACTGTGATTGGCTAATTAGACTGATTAACTTAGGGCATTTTTTACTATTGTCCATGTTGTTCTGTTCTAGCAGGAGACATCACAGTAGCTTTACTGCAGATCAACTTCCGTTAGGGCATGTACATGTGTCTTTACATGTCTTCCTATGGTTGTAGGGACAAACTTAGGTTTGAAACCATTATTGTGAGGTGACTTTGGCCAGTCCTTGTAGTTTCAAAGAGCTTTTTGAGTGATAACTGGACTGACTGAGGTCAGAGTTAGGATAATTCTCTACAATGTGAATGAAACCAAAAGTAACGTCCTCTGTAGAGATTGAAACGTGCCATGGATAAACACCAAGCAGCAGACACATTCAAAATTTCCTCAGGAATTTTCTAGTCATAGATTTATCATTTCCTGCTCAAAGAATTAGCAGTAAATAAAAACACGCAGTGCTGTTCTGGTTTATGACACCGAGGTGAACCTCTCAGACCTGTTGTGTGTCTGTCGGTGTCTGTGTTGGTCTCCATAGTAACTGATGTGTGTCTCTCTGAAACAGACAGAAAAACAGCTGTGTCAACCACCATGAAGACCCCCACCCTGCCCCAGACCACCAGCAACGGCACCATCTGTCTCTGCCACCCTGCTACACCAGCAGCCACCACCGCCCCCGCCTCCAAACCCAGCACCTCTGCACCCGTCCTGGGCTTCCTCACAGTCAGGTGGACACATGGATGTGATGGAAACGTGATCCTCTATCGTTTCTCTAACTCCTCCCTAGATGTCTGTTACAGCTATAATGCCCAGAGGCTTTTGACAAATGTGTGTCAGAATAGGAAAGGTTGTAAAGATAATGTGCTCTGGGTCAGAGATAACAAGGTGCACAGTGGTTACGACGTCTCTGAGGATGGAGCAACACAGAACAGAACCAGTTGTAACAGACTGAGGGTCCACTGCCCCAAAGGTTGGTCTACAGTGTGTGTGTGTGTGTGTGTGTGTATGTGTCTGTGTGTCAATTAGCTCATTGTTGATAATAATAAAATAAAAATGAAAACAGTTAATAACAAATGAACAATAATAATTAGATTAGTCCACTTACTTTGGTAGAGGTGTTGTATAGCCTGATGGCAGAGGGAACAAAGGATCTCCTGAACCTCTCTGTTCTGCAGTGCAGTGAGATGAGACATTTGCTACACCTGTAGCTGCTTCGCTGTCCTGCCAGAATGTTGTGGAGAGGATGGTTGGTATTGTTCAAGATGGCCTCCATCTTACATTGTATGCGTCTCTCCACAACAGTCCTGAGTGAGTCCAGACCCAGCCTTTTTGGCCAGCTTATCCAGTCTCATTGAGTTCATATCTGACATGCTGTTGTCCCAGCAGACTGCAGCATAAAAGAGTACACTGGCCACAAATGACTGATAAAACATGTTCAGCATTTCACTGCAAACGTCAAAGGACCATAGCTTCCTGAGTAAAAAGAGCCGGCTCTGCCCCTTCAGGTAGATGGCATCTGTGTTCAAGGACCAGTCCAGTTTACTGTCCAGGTGCACACCTCGGTATTTATAAGTGCGCACCACCTCAATGTCCTTCCCTCAAATGTTGACTGGTTGAAGGGTGGACCTAGACCTCCAAAAGTCCATGACCATCTCCTTGGTCTTGGAGGTGTTCAGAAGGAGTCAGTTCTTGTCGCTCCATTCACTGAAGGCCATTGTCAGATCCCTGTACTCCTTTTCCTGCCCATTCCTGATACGTGCCACAATAGCTGTGTCATCTGAGTATTTCTGGATGTTGCAGGACTCAGAGTTATATGTAAAGTCCGCCATATACAGGGTGAACAGGAATGGAGCCAGAACAGTCCCCTGGGGAGCCCCAGTGCTGCTCATCACTGTCCCTGAGACACAGTTACCCAGCATGACTTACTGTGGTCATCTTGTCGGGTAATCCGCAATCCAGGCCGTGAAGCAGGGATCTACCCCCATCCCTTCCAGCTTGTCTTTAAGAATGGGGGGTGCGTTTAAGGCTGGACCCAAAATGCAGCCAACACAGGGGAATGAAGTGCAAAAATATTTTAATAACAAAAAGCTGCCAACTTACAAACAAGGAATGAAATGAACAGAAGCTGAAGCACAGGGAAACATAGGGGTCTACAACAGCAGGTAACACCGAGGACAATTACAGGAGGTAGCAACAGGCAACATGACTAACCAGATATGAACAGACGACCCTACACAGACAAAGGGGAGTATAGAGACTACAGACACAAGGGAGGCCAGGGTGATTGAACACAGGTGAAACACATTAGGGCAGGGCAGACAAGCACCACACAGAGAAACAGGACCAAGACAGGAAGTAAAAACATTGAGACACAAGGAAACCACTACAAAATAAAACAGGAAGTGACAGAAGTCCAAACATAAATGTCTGCCATGGCAAACCATGACCGTGCCCCCCCTTAAGGGTCGGATTCCAGACGACCCTTAAAAAACAGAAACTCTAAGTCAGGCGAGAGGAGGGGGGAGGAATCCAGGGGCCAGTGGACAGGAGGGAAAGCAACCAGGCAAGGGAAGGAGCCTGAGACCACAGGGGCAGAGCAGGAGAGCATCCTGTGATGCTCAGGGGCAAAACAGGGTAACTTAGGGGGACGGCTCGAAGGCCTTGTGGACAGGCTGAGCAGTTCAGTGGGGCAACCCGGAGGTCTGGCAAATGGATGGAGCCGTTCTGGAGGCCGACAGCGAAGACCGGGTCTCTCCGGAGGTCGAGGCGGAGGCCACCGTGTCAGCTGGAGCCCTTCTGGAGGGCGAGCAGGAGGCAGGTGAGCAGGAGGCCGGCATGGCAGGCATCGCCCCTATGGAGGGCAAGCAGGAGGCCAGCGTGGCAGGCAGCGCCCCTCTGGAGGGCAAGCAGGAGGCCAACATTGCAGACGGAGCCCCTCTCAAGGGTGAGCAGGAGGAAGGCGGGGAAGATGGGGTCTCTTCCTAGGTCGAGCTGGAGGATGGCGTCACCCCTCTGGAGGGCGAGCAGGAGGCCAGCGTGGCAGGCAGAGCCCCTCTGGAAGACAAGCAGGAGACTGGCGTTCCAGGTGGAGCTCCTCCAGAGGGTGACCAGGAGCTAACTGGGTAACAGGAGCAGGGATCAGCTGGGCCACCGACAGAACATGAGGAGCAGGTATTGACTGAACCGCTGACTGGGAACCAGAAGTAAGCTGGACTGCCAAAAGGAAACGAGGAGCAGGATCCGGCTGGATCGCCGACTGGGAATCAGGAACTGTAGTCAGTCGGACCATTGACTAGGAACCAGAATCAGGAGTCAGCTGGGCCGCGGACAGGACAGAAAGAGCAGGATTCGTCCGGATCGCCGAATGGGAATCAGGATCAGGTGTTGGCCAGACCACTGACTGGGAACCAGAAGGAGGAGTCAGCTGGACCGCCAACAGGAAACAAGGAGCAGGAGTCGGCCGGACCACTGACTGGGAACCAGAAGGAGGAGTCAGCTGGACCGCCAACAGGAAACAAGGAGCAGGAGTCGGCCGGACCACTGACTGGGAACCAGAAGGAGGAGTCAGCTGGACCGCCAACAGGAAACAAGGAGCAGGAGTCGGCCGGACCACTGACTGGGAACCAGAAGGAGGAGTCAGCTGGACCGCCAACAGGAAACAAGGAGCAGGAGTCGGCCGGACCACTGACTGGGAACCAGAAGGAGGAGTCAGCTGGACCGCCAACAGGAAACAAGGAGCAGGAGTCGGCCGGACCACTGACTGGGAACCAGAAGGAGGAGTCAGCTGGACCGCCAACAGGAAACAAGGAGCAGGAGTCGGCCGGACCACTGACTGGGAACCAGAAGGAGGAGTCAGCTGGACCGCCAACAGGAAACAAGGAGCAGGAGTCGGCCGGACCACTGACTGGGAACCAGAATCAGGAGTCAGCTGGGCCGCCAACAGGAAACAAGGAGCAGGATTCGGCCGGACCGACAAATGGGAATCAGGAGTTGCCCGGACAACCGATTGGGAACCAGAATCAGGAGTCAGCTGGGCCGCCGACAGGACAGAAGGAGCAGGATTCCTCCGGACCGCCGAATGGGAATCAGGATCGGATGTTGGCAAGACCACTGACTGGGAACCAGAATCAGGAGTCAGCTGGGTTGCCGACAGGACATGAGCAACAGAATTCGCCGGATTGAAAAATGGAAATCAGGATCAGGTTTTGGCCGGATCACTGACTGGGGACCAGAGTCAGGAGTCAGCTGGGCGCCGACAGGACAGGAGAAGCAGGATTCGCCGGATTGAAAAATGGAAATCAGGATCAGGTTTTGGCCGGATCACTGACTGGGGACCAGAGTCAGGAGTCAGCTGGACCGCCAACAGCAAATGAGGAGCAGGATTCTGCCGTACTGCAGACTGGGAATCAGGAACTGTAGTCGGCCGGACTGACTGGGAGCCAGAATCAGGAGTCAGTTGGGCCGCCAACAGGAATCGAGGAGTAGGATTCGGCCGGACCGCCGACTGGGAATCAGGAACTGTAGTCAGCTGGACCACTGACTGGGAACCAGAATCAGGAGTCAGCTGGGCCGCCGACAGGGCACGAGGAAGAGGATTCAGCTGAACCACCGACAGGAAAAAAGGAGCAGGAGTTGGCTGGACCACTGACTGGGAACCAGAATCAGGAGTCAGCTGGGCCGCCGACAGGACACAAGGAACAGGATTCAGCCAGCCCGCCATCAGGACACTAGGAGCAGGTGTCTGCCGGACCACTGACTGGGAACCAGAATCAGGAGTCAGCTGGGCCGCCGACAGGACAGGAGGAGCAGGATTCGCTGGATTGACAAATGGGAATCAGGATCAGGTCTCTGCTGGACCACTGACTGGGGACCAGAATCAGTAGTCAGTTGGGTTGCCAACAGGACATGAGCAACAGGATTCGGCCACACCACCGACAGGAAACAAGGAGCAGGTGTCGGCCAGACCACTAACTGGGAAACAAAATCAGGAGTCAGCTGGGCCTCCAACAGGACAGGAGGAGCAGGATTCGCCGGATTGATGAATGGGATTCAGGATCAGGTTTCAGCTGGACCACTGACTGGGAACCTGAATCAGTAGTCAGCTGGACCGCCAACAGCAAATGAGGAGCAGGATTCGGCTGGACCGCAGACTGGCAATCATGAACTGTATTCGGCTGGACCTCTGACTGGGAACCAGAATCAGGAGTCAGCTGGGCTGGCGACAGGACAGAAAGAGCAGGATTCGTCCGGACCGCCGAATGGGAATCAGGAGCAGGTGTCGGCCAGACCACTGACGGGGAACCAGAATCAGGAGTCAGCTGGGCCCCCGACAGGACACAAGGAACAGGATTCAGCCAGCCCGCCATCAGGACAATAGGAGCAGGTGTCTGCTGGACTACTGACTGGGAAACAAAATCAGGAGTCAGCTGGGCCTTCGACAGGACAGGAGGGGCAGGATTCGGCCGAACCGCAGACTGGGAATCAGGAACTGTAGTTGGCCGGACCACTGACTGGGAACCAGAATCAGGAGTCAGCTGGGTCGCCGACAGGACAGAAGGAGCAGGATTCAGCCAGCTCGCCATCAGGACACTAGCAGCAGGTGTTGGCCGCCGACCACCGACTGGGAACCAGAATCGGGAGTCAGCTGGGCCGCTGACAGGACAGGAGGAACAGCATTCGGCCAGCCAACCGAACGGGATTCAGGATCAGGAGTCAGCCGGACCACCACCTGGGAACCAGAATCAGGAGTCAGCTGGGCCACCGACTGGGAATCAGGAACTGTAGTTGGTTGGACCACTGACTGGGAACCAGAATCAGGAGTTAGCTGGGCTGCTGACAGGACATGAGGAACAGGATTCAGCCAGCCCGCCATCAGGACACGTGCAACAGGTGTCGGCCAGACCAACTGACTGGGAACCAGAATCAGGAGTCAGACAATTGCAGCAGGTGTCGCCCGGACGCAGTGACTGGGAACCAGAATCAGGAGTCAGCTGGGTCGCTGAAAGGACAGAAGTTGCAGGATTCGGTCAGCCAGCCGAACGGGATTCAGGATCAGGAGTCGGCCGGACCACCACCTGGGAACCAGAATCAGGAGTCAGCTGGGCCGCCGACAGGACACAAAGAGCAGAATCCAGCCAGCCCGCCATTAGGACACTAGCAGCAGGTGTTGGCCGGACCACTGACTGGGAACCAGAATCAGGAGTTAGCTGGGCCGCCAACAGGGCACGATGAAGAGGATTCAGCTGGACCGCCTACAGTAAATAAGGAGCAGGAGTCGGCCGGACTATTGACTGGGAACCAGAATCAGGAGTCAGCTGGGCCGCCGACAGGACACAAAGAGCAGAATCCAGCCAGCCCGCCATTAGGACACTAGCAGCAGGTGTTGGCCGGACCACTGACTGGGAACCAGAATCAGGAATCAGCTGGGTAGTTTGGGCTTGGGCTTGAAGCTGGGGACCTGGGACTGTGGCTTGGGCTGGAAACTTGAGACCTGGGACTGGGGCTTGGGCTAAAAGTGAGGAACCTGGGGTAGGGGCTGAGCCTGAGTTTCCCTGTGGTGATGGGAGCCATGATGTCTTTGCCTTCTGTGGACACAACGGAACCCCGAAAAAATAGCCAGACAAGTTCCCTTGAAAGGGGACTCATCAGGATCCTCGAGGTCCAAGTCAGACAGCAGGTCAGCCAGCATGCAAAGGGACCTGACATTCGACGGGGGCGCTGATTGGAAGGATCGAGGCCGAGGCTCAGCCTTGGAGTTCTGGGGCTGAGGCTGCTTGGGGAACCGGCGTCTCCGTGACCTGCGTTTCTTCCCAGGGGCTCCCTCCCCTAGATACCTCCCAGGTAAGGCTAGCCGTGTTCCCCAAAAAGGAGACGACTCAGGGTCTTCCAGATCCGAGTCAGATAGGGGATCAGTCAGCGTGCAAAGGGGTCTGACAACCGATGGGGGTGCTGGCTGGGAGGATTGAAGCAACCTCAAAAAAGCCATGAAACTAGCGTATGCTGCTGGGTCCATATTCTGGTCGGTTCGTCCTGTCAAGGTACAGGTAAGGCCGGATGCAGATGCAGCCAACACAGGGGAATGAAGTGCAAAAATGTTTTAATAACAAAAATGTGCCAACTTACAAACAAGGGATGAACTGAACAGAAGCTAAAGCACGGGGAAACACAGTACTACAACAGCAGGTAAAACCAAAGACAATTATTGGAGATAACAACAGGCGACATGACTAACCAGACATGAACAGACGACCCGACACAGACAAAGGGGAGCACAGAGACTATATAAGGGAGGCCAGGGTGATTGAACATAGGTGAAACACATTAGGGCGGGGCAGACAATCACCACACAGAGAAACAGGACCAACGCAGGAAGTAAAAACATTGAGACACAAGGAAACCACTACAAAATAAAACAGGAAGTGACAGAAGTGCAAACATAAATTCAAACATAAAATGTCCGCCATGGCAAACCATGACACTTTCTTTTTGTAGTTCTCCTTCGCCTGCTTTAATCTCCTCTTCAGCTCATGTTTCACACACCTGAGCTTCTCCCTGTCTCCATCCCTGAAGCCCTGCCTTTTCTGGTTGAGGAGGGTCTTGATGTTACTGGTGATCCAGGGTTTGTTGTTTGGAAAGCAGTGTACAGTCCTTATTAGTATTACAGTTTCCATAGAGAAGTTAATATATTCTGTGGTACATTCAACCATTCAAGACCAGGGTCCTTGCTTTTATCATTTTCCTGTGACTCCAACAGTATATTCCAATCTGTGCACTCAAAACTGTCTTTTAGAGACTCACTGGTCTCCGGGGTCCAATTCCTGAATGAGTGGGTGGTTGCAGCCTGCCTCACACAGGGCTTGTAAGAAGACTGCAGAAAAACCAGATTATGATCTGATCTGCCAAGTGGTGGTAGAGCTGAAGCAGTGTAGGCCTCCTTGACATACTGAGTGAAGCCAGACAGGTGAGAGGTGAGAGTGACATAGTTAAAATCCCCCGATATTGCAATGAATGCATCAGGGTGCTGGGTCTGTACTTTCCCAACAGTCTTGTGGATGACATTACACACGACTGCAGGGTCTACTTGTGGTTGAATGTAAACATCATTGGCGACGATGTGTGAGAAGGATTAGGGCCCTCCCTCAGTGAATAGTACGGTCTAAGACCAACTGCCAACAGTTCAATATCCCAACAGCAGATCTTCTCCTTCACTGTGATGTGACCGGGGTTGCACCATCTATTGTTCACAAGCAGAACCAGTCCTCCACCTTTATTCATTCCACTTGCTCTGTCTGCTCGTACTGCAGTGAAGCTGGGTAAATCCACGGTCCAACGGTCGGGAGTGTTGTCGTTAAACCAGGTCTCTGTGAAACACATGAGACTACACTCACGATATGCTCGCTGGTTCTTCAAGTGCCTCCATTTCATCACGCTTGTTAGCTAGGGAGTTGACAATTCCTATGATGATCGATGGTAGAAAAGGCTTATATCTCTATCTCCTAGCCTTTAGCATAGCCCCGGCTCTGCATTCACGGTACAGCTTCTTTAGCTCACTCCGGAATGGGATGTTTAACTCCATATCTGGTAAACTTTAAAAGGAGTTTTTCCTTTGTGTACATTATTCCTCCATTGTAAAACGAAACAACGACGTAGAATAAAAGAGGCCATCGACAAAAAATATACTAATATATAGAAATATATTGCAAAAAACTATGAGCTTTGCGGACTTGCTGCAACATATTGCCAGTGCATCATTTGAATATGATGACTACCTCACACAACCCCACGTAAAAAAAACACAACTATCCCTTTAAAATTAGTGTTGTTGGGACGTTTCAGTACCAATAAAGTTTTCCGTAAAACTTATTTTTCATCCTCAGACACTAAACTTCTCAAATCCATGTTTCATATTGTCATAACAAAAATTTTACCAAAATTAAAATAAAGTAAAAACTGGCTCATGTTTAACACAAGGTTGTGTCACTTCATACTGAAGCAAGTAGCAGAGTGAACACATTATTATGACTGAGTGACTCTTAATGAGTCACATCAAATTCACATCTCATTCACATCTCATTCACATCTCATCCACATCCTGTCCACATCTCATCCACATCTCATCCACATCTTGTCCACATCCCATCTACATCTCCTCCACATCTTGTCCACATCTCATGCACATCTCATTCACATCTCGTCTAGCTCCTATGGACATCACTCTTCACTTCACTTAAGAACTTGGACCCAAACTGTTTCCATGGCAACACGACCAATCAGCAGTTAGCTGTTGTGTGTAAAATCACTCGTGTGCATTTTGCCATTTGCACCACTCATTGCACATATGCAAGACTTGTCCCACAGCACCTGCAACAACAACCTACAACGTCTCAGATCAGATAGATGATAGATCACAGTCACAGCTTTATAGTCAGTTATTTCACCTTCATCTGACTGAACAGACTCCTAATCCGTCTCCATTTCTGATTTGCGTGTGTGTGTGTGTGTGTGTGTGTGTGTGTGTGTGTGATTGTGTGTGTGTTACAGCTGAGGCCATCCCAGATGTTAATGGACAGCTGCAGGCTTACAAAGTGGTGGCTGCTTTGCTCTGCTGTGTGCTGCTGATTCTCTTCCTGATCCGCTTCACCAGACCCACTGTCAAGGCCCTGCAGAAGCGATGTGAGTACACACACACACACACACACACACACACACACACACACATTGCACATATGTGCATATTCACACTTATTTGCATGTAATCAGCTCTTACTGAGCTGAAAACATAAACAATATTTTAAGATTAAGACCTGTCAGATTAAAGACTATGTTCAAGAAAGACTGTTGCCTAAAATTCAAAGGAGTCTGCCACACTGTCACAACACAAGAGAAGAGAAGAGAAGAGAAGAGAAGAGAAGAGAAGAGAAGAGAAGAGAAGAGAAGAGAAGAGAATAGCAGACCACACAGAACCACCAGGGGAAGTCATGTGTTTCTTAATGAAGCCCTGCCCATCTCAAACCAGTAGGAAGAGCTGAGGGAAACAAAAAAATCAGGGAATTTGTCATGTGAATTAAAACAAAATGCTGTGTTCATGCTGGAGCCATCAGTCATCCAGAACATAAGAATATTGTACTGGGATCAATCTACAAAGACGGCTCTGCTTCTGCAGGTCCACAGTCAGACTGAGGACCTTTGTCAAATGTCAGGCCCGTCTCTGTTTCTTCTGTGTATTCCTCTGAAATAATACCTTATGAAATAAAAGTGATTTCTTCATGTAAAATATATGAACTGACCCTTTAAATGAATCACATTAATAATAACTGGCCAACATAGCATCCACAGAGGAAAAGCTGTGGAAGAGGTGCTCATCATTTTGCTGTTCAGGCTCATGTGCAGACACAACCTGCATCATGTTGTTTTCAGTCATATTCGCAACAAGTCACTGTAGAGCAAAATGCACAAGGTGTCTCACCCCTGGAAGTATAACTGCAGTGTTAACATGCTTTTCAGTGTCGGACAGGAGGCAGAACCGCTGGATTGGACCTACACAGAGTCACAGTGGTGAGTCGCACACACCCACACACACCCACCCTCACACACACACACACAGACACACAAACACAAACGCACGCGCACACACACACACACACACACACACACACACACACACACACACACACACACACACACACACACACACACACACACACTCTGTAGTGTATATTTACTTCTGCTGCCCCAAATTCTTCCTACAGCACCAAACGTGGATTAATCTGCCGCTAAAAATAGTGCAGTGTTTGAAAGCTCCATTTTCATTAGAAATCAAGGGGCTCAGAGCCACAGACAGAGGAAGGGGTCATACAACACAGTTTTGGTTTGTATGATGATGTTTGTTGTCAATAAGAAAAAGGGAGAGTAACAGCAGATGTGTGACTTAAAAATTTTCCTTTTCTGCGTCAGTGTCTTACCACCGAGGGAAAACTATGGTTAAAAACGATGATGGAGAGAAGAGACTGTCCTACCCTGGTAACACACACATACACGCACACACACACACACACACACACACACACACACACACACACACACACAGTCATATAGTAAATCTGGCTGCTCTTCCTGTGTGTTGTCAAATCAGCTCTGGAGCGACTGACAGTCAGTGACAGCAGAGAACCTTCATCCAACAGGAACAGTGGCTACAACTTCTGAGGTGCATCATCGTCATCATCGTCATCATCATCATCATCATCATCATCATCATCATCATCATCATCATCATCATTCCTGACTTAATGACCAACGCATTATTTAAGATTATGTGAAAGTGACCATTCATAGTAGAAATTCTGTTATAACCAATTCTGACCGTACCACCATCAATAAATGCAAGTGAGCAGTGTTATCAGTGTTAGCAGTGTTAACAGTGTTAGCATTGTTAGCAGTATTGACATGTTGACAGTGTTAGCAGTGTTGACATATTGACAGTGTAAGCAGTGTTAGCAGTGTTGACATGTTGACAGTGTTAGCAGTGTTAGCAGTGTTAGCGGTGCTGACAGTGTTGACAGTGTTAGCATTGTTGACATATTGACAGTGTTAACAGTGTTATGTCCAATGTTGCTCTAACTGAACTTGTATATTAACACATTTTATGATATTTTAATGGCACCTTACAATGTTTTTATGGTTTTAGCAGCAGTTAGCATTTCAAGCTACTTCTTAAATAACTGCATGCAGCTGTCCAAGTGAGCTGCACCGTGTACAACAGACAGCTCTGGAGATGTTCGCAGGTGTATTAGCAGTTTTCCCCTGCTTCTAGTCCTTGTGCTAAGCTAGGCTAACACTCTCAGGACATCTCTCTGTACTGGACAAACAGCAATAAACCTGAGAAGAGCTTTTTAAGATGAAATGTTCCTTTAATCAGAAAAATTGACTCATTATCACGTGGTCAATGGATGTTTGTTGTGCTGACTCTGTTGTTGTTATTTTTGACTTTTGTTGTTAACTTTTTATTTTCGGTAAAATTATCCGAGTCATGTTTGACCTGATTTGTTGCCTCTAAAGTAGGTGAATGGAAAATTTTGGAGAAGACAGAAAGAGCAAGGGCGAGGAGGAAGAGAGTGAGAGACGAAGGTGGTAACAAAGCGCAGCAATGTGGTTTCCTCTGTCGTTGACACCAACTTCCTGTTTGTGTTATTTCTGTCATAACCTGTATATGTTTCCCCCTCTCTCCCGTTCTCCTTCTCTCTCTCACTTCCTCGTTGTCCTCCTCCTTCTTTTCATTCATCTCTTCTCTTCTTTTCTTCCTCCCACTTTCTCTTGTCGTCTGTGTGGTTATCGTGCTGGCGGTCACAGCCCACATTAATTCTCTGTTCAGGGTCAGATTCAAGCTAACCTTCTCATGTCCCGGCTGTTGTTATTAGTTGTCCTCCTCAGATGTACGAAACTGATCGTTTTGGTTTTACACACAACAGCTTTACTGTTTCAGTTCAGTCTCATGGCTCTCATCAGCTGTTTCCTGCAACAGCTGTTTTCAGAGAAACAGCTATAAACACACTGTCCTCTACCTGCTCCGCAGCAGACAGCAGCTGGTGAACATGGTGGAGCATTCAGCAGCTAAAGAGACAAATGTTCCCCTCAGGAGCTGGAGGAGACCAAACACAGAGTCCACATTCATCCAGCTTCTCAGAGAAGGATGTGACAAAACTGGCCAACATGCCTGTAATGCTTATTTTATCTCTTTAAACTTTTGGGCCTGGGAGTTAAAACATTTATGATCTTTCTGAATGCAGGAAAAGACTTTGACTCCTGTGATCTTTAGGAGAGCTGCAGAGGAGTCCTGACTTGTTAGGAGCAAAGACCTGCTCACTTCCGATGGAAGGAGACATGATCACTGATCACTAGAGCTCAATACACTTTTTTATTTGTTTTGGACGGACGTTGGGTGGGATGTAAAAAAGAGTTCATGTCTTCCACATACAGCTTCGTATTCCCATAGCCACAGGGAGAATATTGGTTTACAACAGTGATGATTTGGATTGTTGCAACTGAGCATTTCTGCAGTAATAAATCAGTTCCTCAATAACAGATGAAAATAGAATCAAATACCATTTAAAACATAGATAAAATAAAATAAGTCAATTAAATAAAGTAACTAATGACTAAAAAAACATGGCTACTTCATTACAGTTTTTTCAATTTCTAACAAGATGTGTTGGTGTGTCTCCTGATGACATGACACGGATTGATTCCCTTTTAAAATATTAATGTCTGGATGTCACAAAACTTTTTACAGCTGAATCCTAAAGCGCAGAGACATTACAGTTTTTTTCAGTTGCTAACAAGCATCGGTCAAACCTCTTCTTACAGTCTGCATCTCGGCCAGTGAATCTCTCCTCAAATGAACATACACTTAGTATGTTATTAGTTACTTAGTAGCTTAGTTATTGTTTAGGTATTGTAGGTATTATTGCAGCCCTGGAATTTCAGGAATTATTTTTTTTGTTTCAAATTTCTATTTAACTCAAATAAATGACTCTATACAAGGATATAGAAAAAAAAGTATATTGAAGCAAATTTCTGATTTATTTTTGTCACATACAGTATACTTTAGTACAGTCAATACGGTGAAAATGTGATATTCTTAGGTCCGTGTACCTTCCGTTCATTCTATTTCCGATTTTGAAACGCAAATCGGAAAACAAAAAAAAGGCATTTTTCTTTTTTCAATATATGTAGCAGGTTTTTAAAAAAACAAAAAAGAGCCGTTTTCCATTAAAATATAGCCATAAAATTGGACTATTATTGATTTTTATATTCCAAGATAAACACGAAGAATCCAATCTATGTTAATCCAAAATGCAAAAATGCGGGGATTTTTTAACATCTGTATTATTACAAGGTGAACCGGAAGCAGTATACCCGGAAGCAGTATTTTTGCCTTTTTTCCGCGATTAGCACGTCTTTAGCACAACAGTAGCAGATTCGGTTGGCAGGAGTTTTAAAGTGGAAATGAAGCAGTCAATCAAGTTAACGTGATTTACTAAATGGATTTCCACTCTAATCAACAATTATATAACAAATATGACAAATGTAAACATATAAGAGAAAATATAAGATCCGTTACATCTTTCGTAGCAGAGTGGCGCCATCTTGCAGTACTATAACCTGTGACGTTGGGGTTGGTTGGCTTGGCGGTTGAGGCAGTGAAATAGTTGAAGATAGTAAAAAGATGGACACTGAGGAGCCACAGGACAGGAGAAGACAAAAGGGAGGCCACTATTGTATTGCTCCTGGATGTAAAAAAGAGTTTTACAGAGTTAAAGCCAAGGACAAAACTGTCCATTTTCATAAACTGCCGCTGAAACGAAGAGCAGTCCTGCTGCGCTGGTTGGCGGCACTGAAGAGAGAGAGCCCACCGATGGGCACTGACTCCAGGGTTTGCAGTGAACATTTTTTGGATGAAGATTACCTAGAGGACAAGATCTTTGAGTCGGGCAAACTAGTTGTTCGCCGGACCAACAGACTAAAGCCTGAAGTTGCTCCGTCTGTTTTCAATTTCACCGCCTATAATATGTACTCTACTGACCGGCCTACATACTCTGGCAACAGCGGTGCAGAGACATCAGTCCTCCATAGGGAAAGGGCGCTAAACCGCGCTAGCCAGGCAGGGAAGAGACACGTAGCAAACCACATAAGTCGGCAGGTACTGGTATCTGTTTGAGATGAACATCATCATTGACTGCAATAAAGTTCCACAAAGTCTCTGTGAGAGTCTCTCTAGCTCTCACTGAACACTTCTTTCACTCCAAACAGCAGCAGTCATGAACACCTGATGTCCCCTCACCCTGACACACAGTCCGACGCACGTCACCTAGCCTAAAGATTTCCATAGCATCTCTGCAGCATCAACTGATGAGAGTTGGGCTGTACAATATAGCAGCCCAAATGACTGTCAGAAATTAAAACCACAACCATTAAAAATACTCTGGCCTGAAAGTATTCACCTAAAACTCACGTCATTCCACACCATACATGGTACATCCCTCAGCAAGAGGTCACAGCTGATACAAACTTCCTAAGAAATATTTCTTACCCTGACTCCGTTTCCAACAGTCGGTAACCTCAGACACTCCAGACTTTATACTCCAAACATTATAATCCACAGACGTTATCCAAAGTTCCGTTATCTTCCTCACCATTATCTTGTTTCTTCTTGCAATGCGCGCAATAAAGTTTTTTTGCTAGCTTTTCCTTCACAAGGCCCGACTGCCGAAAAGCCGTCACACATGTGTAGTGGCAAATTAAAAAAAAAATATCGTACCCACCACGAACCAACATAAACGCACAATAATTAACTTTTGGAGCAATTCTTACTTTTTTCAACCTAAAGTGTCTGACCGTCCACCCAGGAAACCGCTGGAGACCTGACTTGTTTTTTTTTTTTTTTAACCACAACGGAATTGGCTCACAACAAAATAAGTATTTTTGACCGATGTCCGCTCTGCCTGCTCGCTACTGCACTGGTTTTATTCATGACCAACCATAACAATAATAAATCAGCAATATGAACCAATAGTAGCGACAGTAGGCAGAATAATATATTTATGCATAAGGAAATGTTTCGCCTTTTACTGAAATTTACGTATTTTAGATACTATGCAAATTGTACTGGAGCCCTCTTTTGGTCCTGGACTGCAATAACGCCACTTCATGACAGATGACTATAAAAACTAGCTCTAGTAACTATGTACGGGTTAGGGTTAGACAGAGAGATAGATAACGTTATTAATCCCTCCATTTCCAGTTTAACTCGGTTCAGAAATGCTTCACTGTCTTCACTGGCCAACGCACCCAACCAACCCCGTTACGTAGGCAATGACGTCACACCAAAATGGCTGCTCGCTAGTTAGCTAGCAATTAGAAATTACGAAAATAAATTAGTCATATTTGTGGTTTTCACAATTTTTAATATCAGATTTTAGGCAAGGTGGTTTTTCTAATAAATTTCCTCACTACCAAACTGCCAAAAACATGCATGTTTCATTTCCGCTTTAAGACTAGACGAGATGGTGTCTCTCGAGCCTTACGGAAATTTAATAAGAGAAATGATAGCGCAAAATCTCTCACACGCGGACAGTTCCACGAATTTATTACAATTAGGTGTGCAGCAAGGATGTTCTGAAATGAGTGTCAGGAGATTTTGTGCACATCACAACATTTCCAGGAGGGGACATGTATCCGACACAAAATTAGAGGTTGCTATCAGCAGGGCAATAAATCAGGTAAGTTATTTTGGTTTTCTTCGATTTACAGAGGTGGGTAGTAACGAGTTACATATACTCTGCTACATTTACTTGATTAGGTTTTTGGATAAATTGTACTAGTAGTTTTACATCATCTCCATACTTGAGTATATTTGTGAAGAAGAATGTACTCTTACTGTACGACATTAGGCTACACTGAGCTAGTTACTTTTCTTTTTTACCCATTCAGTATTCTATGCATCACTATTATTATGTCTTATTTTGTCCGAGAGAGGGACTTCCACCAAAGGCTCTACCACGTGACTGTGTTTCACCAATCAAATTTGGAAATTTGTGGTTCTTGTGCTGTAATTTATTTTGTAAATATTTAATTTATTTTTCATTTTTATTTATTCTATTATTTTATTTATTGAAAGTACTTGAATTTACCTGAAGATAATAATTTTGTATTTTTGTCTCATTAAATGTCTTCACAAATAAATCAAACATTTCTCAACAGTTACTCAGTACTTGAGTAGTTTTTTCACCAAGTACGTTTTTACTCTTACTCAAGTATTTGATGACTATTTTTTACTTCTAATTGAGTCATATTATTCTGAAGTAACAATAATCTTACTTGAGTACAATTTTAGGCTACTCTACCCACCTCTGTTTTATATTTTATATTTCATGTAGACTAGGCCTACATGTCA